CTTCAGTTAATGTTCTGTAGTCTACACAAAATCTGGCAGCGCTGTGGTGCTGGTGAGTTTTCAACCAGATCCGGAGGCCCAAGCACTGGTTGAAGACTCAGTTGTTCTTCCCCAATTCACTTCCTCAATGCCTTCTTACTCCTTTGCAGACAAGGTTTTTTGGGTGAATCTGATAGCTTTTATTAGACCAACTTAAATAGTTGGGAAACAACTTTTAAGCAAGCTTTCGGGTTCAAAAGCCCTTCATCAGGCTAAGGCAGTTTCAGCCATTGGCACGTGCTCTTCCTGGATGCCATGAAAAGTGCTCCTTTGCTATCTGTAGAACAGAATGACTCCTTAATAGGTTTCCCTGCAGCATCAAGCCTTCAGGGACCAGCACAGCACCTTCTGATGCTTATCTGCGTGCCTCTCTCAGATCATTCAGCCTCCCCATTTAAGCATACAGCTCAATGCCCCAACAGCTCTGTTTGAAGCTCCAGGAGTTCACCTAATCCGTCTTCTCCTTTGTAATTTTCTTCTACATCAGCACTTACTAGAACCACACTGTATGGGCTGCGGTTGCCTTTCCTACTATTTGTTTGCTGGAAACATTGAGCAACGAGCAGGGATCTGTTCCTGATTCAGAACGACACATATGGAAGCAGGAAACATTTCCCTGGGACTCGTCTTCACAACAAGCTTCCCCATCTTTCCTTTCCTAGAAACATAGAGAAGCTGTTCTTTGTGCTTTCTGCCCCTGGATGCAAGACAATTTGTTTAGTGAACCCCAGTTTCCCAGAAATCCCTTCTCTCAGGTACCCACATTTCTGACTTTACGTTCCAGAGGCCTGATTTGCTAACCCAGTTTTCCAGCGTTTTGGCTGGGTGCACAGTCCCTGTCCCCGTGTGCATTGTGGACCAGTCAGGATGGTCAGGTTGGTTCCTCACTGGCCCAGCCTTTTCCCTACATCTGCTCTACTGACTGCTCCAAGGGAGCCAGCATCCCTTATTATACACATTCAAGAGCCAGAGATTCACAATTATTACCCAGATCTCACCAAACGTTGTGAGGTGACCTTGTACCTCCGAGCCTGGCCCCTTTGCTTTGCTGTCCCCCCATTTTCTGACCAGAAGAGGGGAGAGCAGATGACATTTGTGCGGCCTACCTTAGCAAGCCTTGTGTGTATAACAGCCCTTTTAATGGACAATCCCCCCTTGCCGTACTAGCATTTAGTTGAATGGCTTCACTTCACGCATGCGTTGCTGCCAGTTGTTTTTTTGTTTGTTTGTTTAACGAACCAAATTCATCCCTTCTTCTAATCACTCCAAAATGTCACACATCGGATCAGACTTCCCCTTCCCACCCTGCTTATCAGACACGGGGCAGCACTTACAGAGCAGCTGGTTCCTCTCGCGGTGCACTGTACAAGAAGAGATTCAAGCCCCACAGCCAATTCCATCACCTCGTCTTGCTGATCTTGATCTGCAAGTCCAGGTCATGCTGAGTCCATTGGTCCATTGCCAGTTAAAGTCCTTTCACCAACACCTAAGCTCAGACTCTCACATTTACTGCTAGAAAACCCTCTCTTTGTTCATCTTCCCACCCATTCCTGTGGGCTACAAATGTCAAACTAAGCTAAGAGTCTCCCAAGGATTTTTCCCCGCACAGATGGTGGTGTTTTTACATTATTTGGGCTGCGACAATCTCATCTTTCCCTTCCGGGCCCGACCATCAGGTTAGAAAAGGATTAATATCCTTTCTTACCTGAGTCTCCCAGCTAGCAAAATTTCATATCCAGGTGGCGGGTTTTCATTTCTAACTTTGATGTTGTTATCTTCTGACCCCCAGGAGATGTGCAGCTATTTTGACCAAACTACACACTTCTACTCTCAGGCATAAGAAATGCTGCAGTCCTCAGATAAGTAGAAATATTTGGAACCTGATTAAAATTAAGTGACAGGCATCATTCTATTTAGTTGTGTTCAGACAGAAGACAATATGGGGTAATCTGCTATAAATCAGCAGATTAGGTCAAACTTCCCCTTGAAAGCTTCCCCCTTCAGAGATCTAGACATACAGTAAAGCAGAGAAAAAACAGTATGACGGGTTAGCTACTGCAATAGCATTTCTTCCGATTTTCTCTTTATTTTAATGACTGCTACACTCACAATAAAAGAGCTTTTATATTGCCATTTTCAAAGGCGCGGGAGGAGACCGAGGGCCACTGCAAGTCACAGTTCAAAAGTCTATTTGCTGATTTTATGATGAAAAAGATGGGTCCATTTGGGAGTCCTACCACCTGTGTGACCTTAACCAAAATTGCCAGATAGGACTTGGAGGAGCAGTTGGCTTCTATTTTTAGATGGTGATGACATGAAGGAGAAAATCTGAGCTTCACTTCATCCCACGCTGCTATATTGAGGGGCTTGAAGCTTATTCAGAGGGAATCTCTCTAAAGGCAAGAAGGAGAGTGTGCCTGCCCACCCAGCTCATTAAATCCTTAGCATGCGAGATAATGGAAGATGTTAGAATTAGCACAGATCAAAGTAGTATATTTCTGTGATGCAGGTACCTGGCTATCAGAAACAGGACTCAGGATGCTGCCTGCCTGCCTCTCTCATAGACCACAAATCATTCTGTTGCAGTTATTTTGAAAATTTTCCCTTGCGCCTAGTTAGAACTCAGATCAGCAATTCTCTCGCTGGCCCCAAGATGTCACTATTTCACCTGAGAGTGCAATTATAGTCTGTCCCAAGGCCTATCCCTTTTCAAATACTGATAAATAGCCTTGATGGATGACTGCAAAACAAAGGCCTCACCCTGCTGCTAATTTTGATTAAGGCAAGAGTGTTTTCACAATGAAGAAATTCTTAAACCAATTGTCTTTGTCCAGCTCTGCTACATGCAGAAGCTGAATAAAGCATGCAGTTGACTTTTTGCAGAGATGTGGAGGAGAAGTTCTTCAGGGAAAAAGCAGAATCCAGTACAGATGGAAATGGGGTGCAAATGCGAGACAGCAAAAAACATGCATATGAAGTTAGAGGACTTGACTTAACTTGAATCCTAAAATGAACGTTACTTTACAACCTTTGTCATTTACTCTCAGTAACATTTATGCATCTGCATTTACTCACAGCTTTCTGGAGCCCAGTCTACAAACCTAGACAGCAACAGAAGACAACCAGTTGTTTTTCTGAATGAAAGTTGGTGACCATCATGGCATCCCTTTCCAGGACAGCAGTGAAGCATTTGCTAGCGAGCCCATGCCCCAGTGCTTTCCAGCTTTGGGCCTCAAATAAGTGCATTAAATAAGTATTCGCATGCCAGAGTGCCAGCTTCTAGTCAAAGGAGCCGGATGGCCTATTAAGATGCCTACACTTGACAGCCTGCATGCTCCGCTTGTGTTGTAACTTCCCAATCCATTGATAAGGTACCACGAGGCCTACTCCAATCGTAGCCTTCTTGAAGTTAGCAAGACAGGTCCTCCATGCAGCAGTTATGGAAACCACCTTTTAAAAGTTAGTTCAACCCTTCTGGTGGTTAACAGAAGACGCTGACTGCTGATCAGCGCTGCTGTGCTCTTTGCCAGGAAGTCAGATCTGTACACAAAGCATCCCCTCCTCCAGCCCCCCCCTTCAGTCCATTGGCTTCAAGGACTCGGTTTTACTCCTGCAGAACACCACATATTTTCCCATCGTTCACAGCCTTGCAACCTGACCCAAGGTCTTCTGCAGGGTCTGTCTTTACCCTCCAGGATTATGCTATGCAGACCAGCTGCCTGGATGTCGCAAGTAAACAGGATTCTCTCCCCTTGGCCCAGGGACTCTAGCAGAAGGAAGACAGCCACTTCCCAGCAACTGGCTTTTATGAGAACCAGGTGATCTTCAAGCTGTCACCTGATCCCTGGCTTTACAGCATCAGCTGAGAGGCAGCTGATTAGTCACAGGTCAGGCTAGGCCAGGCACTGTGCTGGATGTGGCAATTCCAGCATTTGTGCCTCCTCTGCTATTGTGGTAGGTGTTAGTTACTGTGGTGTGCGTACTGCAATCTGCCCTTGCAGTAGTCCTAGCTCAGGCTATAAGTGTTGCAGGCTCTATGGAGAGAATAATGTCACGAGTAGAGCCTCAGTCTGGCTCTATGAATAGGGGTGAAAACAAACAAACAAACCCAACCATCTCAACCCTTGGATTGAAGCTCTTAATGACCATGAAGAGTCTTAGCCATGTTCCCCTTCTGAAGCGGAGGAACATTATTATTTGTTCTTTGTCGTGAGCAGCAGCCAAAAGATACAGGGAGTGGATGTCACAGCCAGTTCACGTATGGTATTTAGTTAGAAGACAAAGATGTACTTCTAAGTGTGAACAAGCCGATTTGGCAAGACTGGGGTCAAAATTGCAGGTGAGACATGAGTGTGAGGCAAAGGGTCATGGCAGAAGCTATGCATGTCACACGTGCGTCTGTGCTACCTGCAGAGACAAGAGGCTTGTATTTCTCCTTCCAAAGGAACAAAGAGGCATCATACCAGGGCAACAAGTTGTAAAGAGTCTGTATTCTTTCCCGTGTTTGCAGTTTTGTGTTTAATCTGATACGGCATACATGGCTTGCACTCAGATGGAAACCAAAAAGGAAACCCCCAGGACTTCAGGGAGTGGTAGGCTATGATCCAGGAGGCACAGCTCTTCCTGCTGAATCTGATTTGAAGAGCCTCCTCTGCAGGAAGAGGCAGGTAAGGAGGTCAAGGCACCATCCTGCTAGAAGCAGCACCTTTTGGATAAGATGGGGGGGGAAAAAAAGCCTAAAAAACCCCCCCCAAAAAACCAAAAAAAAAACAACAAAAAACCACAGGCCTGCCCACCAGGGTGCATGTTAAAAGTCCCACAGCACGTGCATGGCAGCAGCATCACTTTGCTGGAAGGAAAGGGGTTAACACGGGGGATGCAGGCACTCTTTCCACGGGGTAGGCTCAGGCACTTTGAAAGAAAACCCTGAGTCCAGCTCCAGCCCATGGAGGACAGGGCTAAGGCCAAGGACTGGGCAGAGGTCAGCTTTGTTCAGTATTTAACTGAACACAGTGGCTGCACAAACAGTGGGCTCCAGCCAACTCTCATGACAACCAGTGAATAAAAGTTTCCTACACTTTCCTTCTTCAACCACCAGAAGACTCTGCATCAGTCTAATCCATCTCCAATGCAGGTGAACAAACTGCTTTAATTAGCCACTCCAGGGCCTGCATTATCTTGTGGATGGATCGGACAAGTTTCTCCTGGGACACCACACTTTTGTGTTCAGTATCTGGCAAGCCCCTTCAGCCCAGCGGACACAGCTCTCAGGGTCGGGTCCCTGCCACTAGGCTAGGTGTCGCTCCTTTCCATTTGGCCACTCATGTGTGATCGCTTGAATATATCATATTGCAAGATGTTACATTTAGGGAGTGTTCCAAGTTATTAGGACACATGACCTGATCTTTACTGTGGAAACTCAGTCATCCCATAGCAAAACTTCACACTGTCTGGATGAAATCTAGTTTACAACCCAAGCATGGGTGGATAGGTGTACATGTCCACTGAATGCAAGATACAGGCTGTCTAATGGGCCCAGCACTGAATTAAGTCTGACCAGTGAGCACAGCTCAAGCAGAGATGCTTAATCATTTTTACGGAGGTTTCCATTAGCATCAAACGCGCATCGCAAGGCTGCAGCAAGACGACACAACCCATCTGAGCAGCAAGTGACAAAAAGCCCATCAGAGACAAAGGGAATTTTATGCCAACAGAATGTAATTAGTTCCGCCATTGGAATTAGGCCAGCACAATCAGCAAATTAAACTATGTTCCCAGTGTTGCAACAGTTTCCATTTCAAATTTAAAAGAGGAGATTGGTAAGGGATATCCCTTCCTGCTGCAGTTATGGAGTAACAGAATGATGCTATCATCACGCATTTACAGCAAAACGTACAAAAGCAGTAGAGAAAGACGGCCCGAGAGATCCAGCCACCTGATAAGATGTTCTAAGTGCAATACTGCTCCCTTTTGATGTAGGAGGATGCAATATCTTAAGAGGCAATTTCTTGTGCAGCTTTTACTCTCTGTAGCACTAGCTGTTGATGGTACTTTTCCACTGTCTGGCTCCTGTACAGTTTAAACACAGATGAAATAGGAGCACAAAGGCGGCAAAGAACGAATTATGCAGCCACGACACCAGCATAGGAAAAATGACTTGTCGAGCAATGTCAGCTTTGCTGGCTTCTGAGGAGCACTGCCTGGCAGCAGGGTTATTTCAAACTGATGAGGAAGTGCTAAGCTAGAAAGAGCAGTTGCACGGGACACAAGTGCAGAACTCGCACAGCGACTGGTTTTAAAGATGCAAGTCCCATGTCTGCCCTTAACATTTGCTGGTTTGCTGAATTCCTGAATGGCTTCCCAACTCCCCTTATTCTCCTCTAAATGAGACGCCACAGTATGTGTCCGAGTTCAGGGATGTGGGGAAAGAGATGACTTGACTCAAGTCTCCACTAACACCTCTCCAATCTGGGATGGCTAGTGAGCATTCAGCTGTACCAGCACATAGGACTGACCCTGCACAGCTCAGATCCACTCACATTTGCACCTGCCCACACTACCTAGAAGGAGCAGTGTCCTCTGCCTTCCCAGATTTTCCAAGGTAGAAGGACCTAGTTTACAGGGCCATTTTACTTCCGCTGCATTCTTCCTACAAAGCATCCTCATGTGGGCACAGGTCCTGTGTTACAGCGGGGAGATAACACAGAGGAGCAACAGCCAATCTCACTTATTAGTGTATAAGGATCTGTGCAACCCCATTTGAGCATGTGGAATTACTAGGGATCTGCAGTGCACAGAGAGAGTCAGACAAAGTGTTTGTCTCTTACCCCAACCCACATTCCAGACATTTCATCAGTTCCACTCGGCCTACACCCTGCCTGCTGGGACTCGGGAGAGAGAACAGCAGGGCCATGGGGAGAGCATGCTGGTGGCGGGGAGAAGGGGAGCATTGAAATACAGCAAGCCTCATTCCCCAGCAAGCTTCTGTAAAACAATTTTGCTTCCACTGTCACTTTGTTAAGAGTTTCAATGCAGGTTTTGCTCTGTCAATAGGAAAGGACTCAGAGAAGCAGAATTCTGGGTGGTTTGCTAATAAAGAGGTGATGTGCCAGCCCAAAATACCAGTCTCCAGCCTTCTCAATCCCTAAGGAGGCAGAGTCCAAGCTTAAGAGGATCTGCAGAGATGCTCTTTGCTGCTTTTGAACTCTACAGACCATCCTGAACACAGGGTGCTTCCCCACCATCAGGGCATGTAGCCTCATAGGCCTCTCTGCCAGACAGTTTGGTGCAATTATCCTCCTTGTCAAGATGAGTGAAAATGAGTTTTGGGGAAGTTGAGTCTCTTGCTCAAGGTTATAATGCTAGCGCTGTTGTGGACAGCATGGATCCAAGAACCCTGCAGCCATCTCCAGGAGATGCCAAGGACTCAGCAGATCAGAGAGAGCGCGCGCGCGCGCTACTGAACAGGTGCAGGAGCCAGAGCTTTTCCCAACCTGC